TATCGATTATGCTAAGATTTCTGTTTGAAGGAAAAGAAGGAACATGCAGAAAATAAACTGTAACAAAATAGATGCTGAGTATCTTTAAAAATAAAAAAAATCTCATTTTAGCATATTGCTTCTCTTGGAAAATTTGCTTTTTTGCAGCAAGTGACAATTGTCTGTACCATTTTAGTATATGTGCTTTTTAGTATATGTATCAGTGCTTGCAGAAAATCTGTTGATATTGTTGGAAAATTAGTCCATTTGATGGAAAAGTCTCGTGAAGTGAAGCATTATGCCCTGACAGAGGGCCACTGTGTTGGGCAAAGGGGGCCTATGCAAGTCTCTGATACCCAGGTGGGTTGTATCACAGTACCGAAAAAGCTGGCCAATGTCATCACAAGGACTCTGTCATTTTTTTTAAAGGTCCTGGTGATTGAGGGTGATTCCTGGTGACTGGAAAAAGGCAAATATGGCCATTTGCAAGAAGGTCAAGAAGGAGGATCCAGGGACTGCAGGTTGCTCAGCCTAACCTCAAGCCCTGGGAAGATTAGGAAATATGTCCTGGAAACTGATAAGGAAGGATAAGGAGGTGATTGGGATCAGTCGACATGGGTTTATCAAGGACTAACGGACCAGATAGCTTTTGATGATGGGAAGTGACTGACTGTATGGATAAAGTGGGGATGGTGGATATTGTTGGCTTCAACTTTGTCTAGGCTTTGGACACAGTTCCCCATGGTTTATCTTGTAGCTCAATTGAAGAGACAGGTGGGAGGTGGAAAACTGGCTGGGCTCAGAGGTTTGACCACAGGTTAAGAAAAAAAATCTGGTCTGTGACATTACAAATGGGGCCTCTTGGGGTTGATACTGCAGTCAGTACTGTTAAGTATTTTTCTTGGTGACATAGACATTGAGAATGCACCCTCAGTAGTGTTGTGGGTGATAGAAAACTGGCGGGTAGTAAATGACTGCTGTTTAGAGGGATCTCAACAGGCTGGAGAAATGGACTAACTCATGAAGTTCAGCAAATGCAAATTCCGTGGTCTTGTACTTGAGAAGGAATAACTGTAACAGTGTAGCCTGGGGATCAACTGGCTAAAAAGCAGCTTTGCAGAAAAGGATCTGAAGGATCTGGTGAATGACAAAGGGAGTGTGAGTTGGCAGCAAACCCTTGTGGCAATGAAGACTGACGGCATACGGTGCTGTATTAGCAAGAATGTAGTCAGCAGTTTGAGAGAAATTATTATTCCCTACTGTTTGTCACTTGTGAGACCACATCTGGAATATTGTATCTAGGTTTGGGCTCTCCAGCATGGAACAGACATTAGTATAGTAGAGTTAGCCCTGTGGAGGGCCACCAAGGTGATACGGGGGCAAAAGCACGTGACCTAAGAGAACCAGCTGAGAAACCTGCATTTGTTAACTCTTAAAAAGGGAGGACTAAGAGGGGATCATACTGCTGCCATCTCACAGCCCCCCTTGAGTATGGAGGTGACCTCTTCCCAAAAATGCACAGTGAAAGTACCAGAAGCAATGGACAAAAATTGCAACAAGGGAAATGTTGAATGGATAGCAAGGAAAAAAATTCCACAATGAGAACAGTCAAATGTTGGAAAAGGTTGTCCAGAGGGGTTTTGTAATCTGTGGAAATACCAAAAATTCAGCTGGGTATGATCCTGAGTTGCCTGCCCTAATGTTGAAGTATGTTTCTTATTTTTTTTCCTTCACTTAGTACATTGAAATATCTTTTATTTTTCATTTTTGCTGAACAGAGTTAAATGAAAAAGTAGCAAAATTAGTGTAAATTGCCTCAAAAATTCCTGGAATTATACTGATAACATTGTGAATGTATGGGAACAAACTGGGTCCTTCTCTACTTTTATTTCCTCAGAGGATTTAAAATTTCAGGTATAATATATTGGAAGAAACTTCAAATGATAGGAGTTTTGAGGGCCTATGAAATGAAAAACGGCAGTTGCACAAATTACAGGTGAGTGGTGTGGTCCAGGACGATGGGTGCAATAAAAGGGGATGTTTCTAGCTGGCTCTCTTGCTCTTTGCCAGGGAGCCAAGTGTACTTGTTTGCCTTCGGCCAACCTCAACCCAGTCTTCAGGCAGGCTCTGAGCCTGCCAGAGTCCTGGCCTATGGCTATGGGTGGGAGGCAGTCTGGGATCTCTGCCTTGGGCCCTTTCCTAGGAGAGTGCGGTTGACCATGACTGACAGGGCTGGTGGCTGTTGCTGCTACAAGGTGGTAGAGCAATGGAGGCTGTGGACAAGGGATTTCAAAGCCTGGCGTTGGCCCCTCCAGGTGCTTATGCCGAGAGCATCTACTGCCCCTTTCCCTGCTTTCTACTGTACACTGATAGAACGTATGGGTAAAACTCATGCTGTAGTAAAGGATTTTTTTTTTCTCTGTGTTTTCTAAACACAGGAAAGACTCTGCAAGCCATATTAAGTTATAAATGTGCTCAGTCCTGATAGATCAAGTGCTAAAGTCCTCTTTAACTCACTTGTTTCCTTCTGTGGCTAACAATGGATTTCTTGTGCATTACCAAAATACTTCTTATTTACCATAGAACCTTCTCATTCTAGTTCTGTTCAAAAACATTGAATTTCCATCCTGCAAGGAGATTAGCTAACCTTCAATGCAGCATACCCTAACCCTAACCTGTATCTAAGATACTATAGTGTACAAACTTTGAGCCTTTATATTTGTCAGAACTTAAGTTTAACTTCTCTTCTTTGTTAAACTGTACATCAGGTGTTTGAGATGAAAACATTTCAGTCAAACTTTATAAACTGATCAAATCTTTTGTTAAGGAATGTGCAAATTGTGTGATGGACTTACTGATGCATGTCAATCATCTGTGCCATTTGCCATATGAGCATTGAATAGGTAAATAAAAGCATTTTTTTGGTTGGCAGTAAGTAATAAGATTTTATTGTTATACTGTAGCTGTATTATTGAGTGGTAGTAATTTTATTTTTTTTTTTTTTTTAACTGGGAATTGTATGCCTTTAGTATGTATTGAAAGATGCCGAGTGTCACTGTTTCTTCAAAGGTCTCTAAAGTAAGGGTGCACCAGGGAGATAACTTTGTTTTCCCCTTCCTTATCTTTCACGGAACTGATATTTTTGGCTAGCATGTATCAAAGCTGTATCCAGAGTGTGCTGTTGTCAGGAGGATAAGTTGAGCAGAAAGTGCACAGTTTAGGCAAAATGGAACACACGTGAAGAGGCATAAAGGTGCTCTTCAAAGAAGAAAGTGCATGTAGAAAGCGACACTTAAGATTATTTGGTGTTGTTATTTGTTGTAGAGATTAGATGAGTATTGCTGAAGTATCAGAAGAATACTGGGCAAAGGAATGAAACTGTTACTGCAAATTTAAGATTGATGGATTTGACAGCTGTGGTCTGAAAGCCAGAAAATTAAGCAGGCTGGTAACCAGGCTGCATCTGTGGTGTGGCTTGCCTTCATCTGGATGCTGAGATCTCTCCCTTCTACAGTAGTGTTTAAACAGTAAATGTGAGTGAATGGTAGTTGAGAACAAATAAATGTCCAGGTTACCATGGACATCTTTCCCAGAACACCAAATAAAAAACATAAATAAAGCACTCCCTTGATGCTTTTGCTATTTGTCTGGTCTCTTAAACTCTCTCTTGAAGAAACTGTGGTTTAAGAATCAGCAGTTAGCTGGAGGTTTTAAGAAAAAAAATTCTAGGTTTTTGTCTTTCTACTTGATAGGACATGTTACAGGGCAGCACTGGTCCTTATAACTTACTGTGTAATGGCATTGTACATCGGTCATATGCTAGTCCCACTGACATGAGACTGAAATTTGCTGAGAAGTGAGATAATGCTGATGCATTTATACTTCTGAAGGGAAAGCTTTTCCTCTACAGTAACACTGAGTTCTGCATGTCCTGGTCTTTCCGTGCCTTCCCATAACCTCTAAGGACAGTGCCAAAGGTTATAGGGTGATGAGCACTTTTCTGATCATTAGCTTTTTGCCTTTCCGTTTTTTTAAATCTACTTTGTTCATTGTTAGTTCAAATTTGAGTTACTCAGACACTGTTTGCAAGACATGATCTGGTCTTTTCAAGTCCCAGATAGCGAGGTGATGACTTTTACAGCTCTCTTCTCACTAGAGGAACTACTCAACATGTTTCAGTGAAATAAGTTTAGTGATCCTGGATAAGGGCAAGGTAGAGGATAAGTAGATTTCTTGCATTTCGGCAAGCGTGGCAGCTCAGCTTTGCTGAGCAGCCTGGTATTACATTCTACCTTCATGTCTGAGAAGTGGTGGTATGCCCCCTAAGACAAGGGGATAATGATTAGAAATGGACTTTCATACTGAAGACTTGGGATGGCTGGAGCCTTAACAAGGTCTGAGTGATATCTTCATTCTTACAGCCAAGATATGAATGGTGATCAAAGGCATCCTGAGGGACATGTAACTGAAAACTAGTTGCATAAATTAATCCAATATCTCTCAGTATTCGTATTTGAAACTACAATAGGCATTTTGTGAAACACACACCATTTTTCTGGTAAAGTGAATATCAGAAGTGTATCTTGTTATGTTCAGAAAGCTGCATAAGGCTTTTGAATCAAGTGTTGCTTTTTAAGGGGGAAGAGGAGAATGGAATCATAGAATGCTTTGGGATGGAAGGGACCTTTAAAGGTCATCTAGTCCATCCCCCCTGCAATTGGCAGGGACATCTACAACTAGATCAGGTTGCTCAGAGCCAGATACTGACTTCAGGTTAATGTTCTAATTCATTATAGCTTAAAACACAAGAGACTTGATTCTGCAATGAATCAGGCAGGTAAAAGATAAATTGAAAAGTAAAACGAAGTACCACATGACTCATGTTAAATCTGAATACTTGACTCTGTGTTTGTTTTGGTTAGTTTGTATTTAAAATTCAGGCAATGGCTGCCTCCACTGAAATGTTAGTGAAATAAAATTATTTCTAATATTTCATGTGTTTGCTTTTATTTACAGATGACATGGCAGAACTTCTTCTTGGGGAGTCCAAACTAGAACAATTTTTGAAGGAAAACGCTCTAAAACAGAGTAGTAGTCCACTGGGCCCCCGGCCAAAGCTGACTGAGGTCAGGAAACATCTCACGGCGGCACTTGATAGGGGAAACCTAAAGGTATGTAAGTCAGTCTGAGCAAGAATTAGAAAAGCTGAAATTGACTGGAGTACTCTGCTGATCATGGAGAAAAATGTGGAAAGTGCTTGTGTGGTGTTTTATCATCATTGCTATTCCCAGAACATCATCAGCACTATGCTATTTCATGGCTTTTTGTTTCTTCATGGATTTTTGTTCAGATAAATTTCTCAAATCTTCTTTCATTAGAAGAATAAGAAAACTGTCATTGACTTCTGGGATGCTTAAGTGAAGTACTTACAACCTGTTTTGTGGAAGTTTTTCCTGGGGTATATAACTATATTGTTCTTTGTAGTGCATTAAATAGAAATGTTAGCAAAATGTGAAATACTTAACAAATTTCTGTAATAGTCTCTTAAGTATTCAGGAATGGTTCCTTAAGTTATGTTTGTGGGGGTGGAAAATGATGTTAATACTTGAGAGCAATTTTCTGTCATAGCCTTTTGATGTTCTTAACTATTCTGGCCCTTTTTTGCTTAACTATTATTGTAGCTACTACATCAGCTTATCTTTTCTGTACTCAGTGTCCATCTTTTGAGAGATCAAAAGGACCTTGTTTTACAGTCACCTGTAACATTTTGTTTCTTGTGATTTGTGGGAGTATTAATTTCTCTTCCTTTTCTTTCTTCATTCTTCCATGAATCCTTTTTTCAAGACGTTTCTTCTGCCCTGATACTTTGAAATTGTGCAACTTAAATATATAGGCTGTGGAACATATATCATTAAGTTTTGATGCTATGTTATTTTCAACTGTGCTTGTGGTGTTAGAAAAAAGCCATTGGGGGGGTTGTAATGATAGGCTGCCTTTAAATAGTTTTGTTACCTGGCAAAGCTGGATCCTGAAAGAGCTATTTCTGGTGGATGTGTAAATAAATATGTGAATATATAAAATGACTGGTAATGCTTTTCAGTAGCTTGGTGGAGTGAGATTTTGTGGATTCACCTCCTACTGCAAGCTTCCCAAATATTACATGAAGATAGAATTTTGTTGGTTTGTTGCTCTGTTACAAGAAATATCCTGAAGGTTTCTACAGTGCATATATACAGAAAACAGACCAAATAATTGTCAGAAAGAATTAGGTGTGTTTTCTCAGGAAAAAAACCTTTCTTATTCCTCTTCCTTCTAGCCAGAATTCTTACAAGAAGCTAACCTAATTATGGCCAAGCTAAACTATGTGGAAGGTGATTACAAAGAAGCTCTGAACACATATGCCAGAGTTGGAGTTGATGACTTGCAGCTAGCTGCAGTGCCACCATATAGGCTACGGATGATTGCTGAAGCGTACTCTACTAAAGGTAAGATTGCTCTTTCCAGTACAATAATGTGGAAATAGTCTTTAAAATGTTAATTCACATCTTGTCCGAAGTTAAATTTTTGGCACGCGTATCATCAACACAGTGGTGGAGTACCACACTTGTAGATAAATCAGAGGATGGTTTGGCTCCTTTAAATTATTCAGAGTTTGTGCTAGGTTGACAAGACTTTTACCTCAATTAATATTCTGTGCTGTCACCCAATCAATTTTTTTTTATGTATGTATTTAAAAGTCCTTCAGTAAATGTCAGAATAACTGTGGCTAGATACTGAAAGTATTATCACAATTGCTGACAGTTAAGAGTTACAAAAGTAGTGCAGTTTTGCAGTTTCTGTGGTCAGAATTGAAGAACCTTGATTCACCGTGATGCCTTTTACTGAATGTTAAAATGCTCAACCTAAGCTCAATTGCTTAACTAAATTGCTACTTAATTGAGAAAAACATGATTAAATGACTTAAAGCAGTGCATTTCTTGCACAGTTTTATTTTTTAATTTTTCTTACCTGAATATCTTTTTAAAAAAAAACTCCAAAAGTGAGGTTAATTTAATTTTTTTTTTTTTAATAGTCTAATATAGTGAAAATTGTAATGCTGGCCTTGTGTCTTAAGGTGGCAGTGCCACTTCAGTTTAGAAACTTTATTAATGGCTGTAAGCTGGGTCAGTGTGTTGAGGAAAGTGGCAGTTTGTATGCCGTAGATTTATTAGAATTTACTGTGTCTTAATGTTTGTTTTGGTCTGCTGTGTTTAAGCTTGGGTTTGGTGTGCCTATATGCTTTTTGTTATGGCAAGAGGAGTGTCAAAGTCAGCAAACACAATTTAGGAGAGACTTCAATAGCATTCACTGACAACTGGTCAAGGATTGTTTCTAACATTAGTCTTGGAAGAGAGTGACTGTTTTCCACCAACACAGTCCTCTAGTAAACGTTAGACAAGCATGAATCATTCTCTATAGAGATGTCAAGGAAATAAGGGAACTAACTGGTAGCAGAGACAAAAGGATGCTTCCTAAATCTGGGCAATATTTAGAATAAAGTGGGAAAGGGAGTACATGGGGAGTTGTTATGTATGACGTAAATCTGCCCAGTTCTCTCATACAGCATCTGTGTGGGCTTTTTGACAATGTTTGGTATGGGTAGACTTCCACTCAGCGTTGTGGGTTTTGTTTTGTTTTTTAAATCTATGAGGAGGACTGTTGTATTTGTCACGTTCTTTCCATGAAAATGCAATCTTGGACTTGATCAACTTTAACTACCTAAATTTGCTTATATCTCCAAAGACTCCCAGTAATTCAACTGGATCTTTTCCCAGAGCTCAACTCTTCTGGCTCTGTTTTATTTGACCTCATAAGGGTATATAACAGTTGAAAAATATGAAAAATAAAGGCATCGATTTTGCAGAAAGGATTAGTATTATTAGTTTTACTTAATGTAAAAATAATTTATTAGAAAATAGTAAAATATGTATCTTTTCTACCCTGGAATGTTTGGTAGGTTCAGCTTATTTGAAAAAAAAAAAAAAAAAGAGAGAGAGAGAAAACCACCAGCATGTCTTCTGCCAGATGTGGTGGGGGTTTTTTGCTTCTGATTTCAAGCTTTATACTTAAACACTGAAATCTTTCATACCAAGCCTGATTTAATCTTGATCAAACTTCATTAGTCTGGTCACTTCTGCTGGGTGGCTGGCGACCAGTTTAACTGAGCAAACCGAACAAACTATTGTTTTGTTGTTTTGGTTTTTTTTGTTCTGTTCATGTTCAGAATCATCTTTTTTTGCAACTACGTTTCCAGTTTGAATGGAAGATTAATAAAATTTAATATCCCATCTTCCCATGGTAGCAGGTTGCAAGAATATCATCATCTCTGTGTTCTAGAATGAGGAAGAAGTCACAGAGCAGTCTTAAATTTAGTATTCAAAGTCTAGATAAGTTTAGAGTAATTGACAGGTAAATAGCATATGTTTCTACCCAATAGTGTATAGTTAATTCTCCTCCTCTTCCCCCCTCCCCCTGGAATTTCTTCTTTCTCCTTGTAAGAGTGGACTGTAAAACTTTTCAGTCTGAATTCAGAGTCTCTTCGGAGGTGATTGAGGCTTGTAGGTATTACCCAACTAAATACAAGTTAGTCTTACAGGGATTTTGTGCTTCATGAGGATTTGTATTTCTGCTTGCAAGTTCAAGGATAACCTGATTATATAAAGACAAAACTCTTCTGAGTATTTAGATTTTATTTCTTTGGCGGTCAGGAACATAGCACCATGTTATTCAGCAATGAGGGCCTGTCTGTGCTGCCTGTTTGCAAGCATCAGCCCGGCCTCGCTGTTCAGTGCGGCAGCCTGCACAAAGGCAGTTAGATACCTGTTCTAGTTGCCCCATTTCAGTCCAGTTTGGGGCAAATCCAGTTCCAGTGTATTTACAGTCTTGTATCCTATTGTGCAGTGGTCTGATACTGATGTACTTACCTACCTCTGGCAAACGCATAGGGCAGATAACTAATGGTAGTTTTTAATTGCCTTACAAATTTTTCCTTATTTAAGGTAGGACCACATCCAAGTGCTTACCTTCTTAACTCTGAGGTTTCATTGTGTAACCTCAGAGGTGATAGATTGCGTGAAGCAAAGCCTCAGAAACTTGATTAGCATAGGTCAGGACTCAGCACTGTTTAGATATCCCTCATGCAAAAGTTGTGTGGAGGTAGCTACCATACAGAACTCTGAATGTAGTGTAATTCTGATATTTTCCTGCCTTTTTTCACCATTTCTTCAAATTAAGAAGTTAAAAGCAGAAGCGTAGTAGAGGACAGTCTTCTTTTATGTGGTTAACTTCGTGGACAGGCATATTTTTTTGACCTTACACTGATTTTTTTTTTTTTTTTTCTTTTGTATGACCCCGTAGAATCCAGTTCTGGATTAGATCTAGTGTTTTCTTTACTTTAAGGAAAGAGCTGATTTTGATGTTGTGCTTCTGACTAATGACTCTGTATGTGTATGTAGAAAGTGTTGTATGGGATAGTTGGAGCATTAATAAAATCATAGGTTTCATTAAATACAGAATTTTCTTACATTCAAAGACTTACTTGAAGAAATTCAGTAGGGTAATTTTTAAATGTCATATAAAATATAGAAGCGAAAAGATGGAGCTTTTCAAATCAACGGGCTACTTAGTATTTGCAAAAACATGAGAATATTTATTTGAATCTGTTGTTTAGTTTTTCCCCCCATCTGCTTGTAATTACGTTTCACACAAAAACAGAGAAAAAGCATCTGATAAAACAGTTTCCTGTTTTATCTAGAGCAAAGCTAAGAAATAAGGCTGGGCAGGAGGAGTGAAGGACAGTCTTGAGAGTGTGGTGGCAAGTCTTGGTTCAAAGTAAAATGTAGAGGGGTTTTGCACATTTCTGGCTGTATTACATGTTTGATATTTAAATATTTGCTTAGGAATGACTGCCTTCTGATAAGCAGAGCAGGTTCCCTTGTTACAAGAGGTTAATTTTGTCTCTTTAATATCCATTTGTTACATTCTTTACTACATCAGTTTAATTGGCAATGCTCAATTCTGAGACTGAGGGAAACCTTAACTTATGAAGAACTGAAATAAGACAAGTTATGAATCCATAGAGAAGTAATTAAACACTGTATATGTATGACTTTTTTAAGTTAGGATTGTGTAGCTAGCTCCAACATTTCCTACTCCCTTCTCTTGCAAAACCAACCAGAAAACATTCTGTATGCGCTGTTACCATATAGAAGCATATATTTGGAATCCATTTTAATAATGGCTGAAGCTAATATTCTCCTAGGGATGCGGCCTCTGGGAACAGGACAATTAAGTTACTGCAAGTTTTCAGCAGTATATGAATGAGGTAATATACTGGAAAGCACACACAGGCATTATTCAAATACTGTGCATGGCAGTATCTCCTACGTTTCTAAGCAATTTTTGTTTGCTTATGGAAGCAGAGATGAGATGCATGCACAGTGGGATATCGAGGTGTTAATTTGGGGAGGTGCAACTTGTCAGTAACTCTGAAATAACAAGTATCTATTTAACTGGGAAATAAGCTTATTGAAATCTTAGGTAACATGATTCTGATACTGCTGCATAAATCAAAAGACATGATTGAAAAATGAATTTATAATACTTGGCATTACAAATTAGTGAATCTTTCTACAAATGCTTATAGATGAGCATAGCAATTTACAGGTCTGACATTTCTTAAAGTCTGCAAACTTGTGAACTTGATTTTAATAAATAAATTGTGTTTATATTTACTATAGTGTAATAGATTAGTAGACTCCTGCAGGTATCTGTCAAGATGGCTGTGTTGTATTACAGTAACAAATTCTTGTTAAGTATGTGAGGGATGTTCTGTGTAAGTTAGACTGTGACATTACAGGACTGTAGCCTTATTGCTGCAGGCCGTTTTACATCTCATATTGCCTGTTCAAATAACTGTGTTTATATTTAGATGATGTATGTTGAGTAAGGTGAGACTGTCTTTACTGCTGCTGACCCATATTCAAATCTAATGTTGCATTTACCAAGTTAAATGATTGGCTATTAATTAGTTCTATTTACAGAAACATGGAAATACTCATTAGGTTCAGTAGAAGTGTCCGGTGCATGGGAATTGCTACTTTGCTCTTCACAAAAGATGCTGCACTTAACTTTAATCATATTCGATTGTAATGAGATCTTGTGCACCGCTAGCCTGTGCCAGCAGACACCAAGCAGCTCTTCATGGGAGAATGCTAAATGAAAGCTGTTTCAGTAATTATGCTGGGGATCTCTAGCCTCATTAGGCAATGGGTCAAGAATTCAACTTCCTTAAGTTCCCTCCTCCTGTATGGCTGTGCAAATGTTGCAGCCTGTCAGCAAGCAGTTTGCAGACCATGGTTAGGAAGCCTATGACATAGGTACTTCAAACTTTTGTCTATTAAAGCTTGTCTCTCCCCCCATCTATTTTTATGACTTCTTTCCTGCT